AAGAGGGGATCTAAAAGCGCTCTAGACGGTGGCGGTAAGCGAATCTCTTGCTAATTAGTGTATAGCATAGGCATCTGCAGTCTATAAGCGCGACAGCGTTTGCTACGTTGTTCACGATAAGATCTACAGTGATTGGTGGGGGACGCATATGCTTCTGCTAAAACTGATTCCATTCGCTACGTGTCTGCCGATCCATCTTCAGAGGCTCTGGGCCGAGACTCTGGCCCAGAGCTACTCTTTTTCCGAGTCGCTATCGTCTGGGCATTCGATCTGTTTCTGGCGTCTCTGCCCTTCGCTTAGGGGAACGGCTCTCTTAACCTGAGTGGTGTTTGGACAGTTTCTAGCGATGTGGCCCAGTTCGCCGCAGCTATAGCAGTCTAGTGGGGACCGCCTTGGTCTATCCTTCGTTTCCCGTGCCCGATTGGCCTTCGAGGGCTCCCAGTCCATCGCTTCTGGACTAGCATCTCGCTAAGCGACCTTTGGGGGAGCTTGCGCATGACTATAGGCCGCGTTCCTTTGATTCCTCCCGTGCAACTAGATCCGGTATAGGTCATTGGAAAGCTTGATTGCCTTGTCTATATATTCCTTTAGACTTCCGTTCTTTAGAGTATAGAGCATTAGCTTTTAGAGCTTTTCTCTAAGTCCCTTACTAAACATCTTATAAGCTACTGCTAGGCTAAACTGCTGTTAGGACTCTACGCGAAGCTAGTTGAACTCTAAGACATAGTCGCGTATTAGTCGTCGTCCTTGCTTTAAGTGCTAAAGCTTGTTTAGCGCACGCTGCTGCTGGTGCACGTCTTAGAAGTAAGTATCCATGTGCTCCCATAGGCCGGCCGTAGTTCGTTCCTTATTCTCAAGCACCCAGGGAAGAAGGACCTAGTTTGCTTTGCCCTTTGTTTAACTAAGCACGTATCGGACCTTTGCGTCCTCCGTTAGGAACATGGCGTAGTTGTACTCTAGCTTCCCTTTGCACTTAAATTTCTAACCTAGGTAGTTATCACGTGTCCTATTAAAACGCTCTAGGTCGGGAAACTTATTCTTGCGGGCTGCTAGCTTGGCGACTGTTGTTAGCGGTGGTGGAGGAGTGTCGACTCTTGGGGATGACTCCGAACGTCCTTCGGCTTGGTTCCTCTCAAGTGCCTCTAGGCGACTAGCCATTGGGCTAAGCAGCTGCATCATCTGCTCTATTACTTAGGCCACGGCGTTCTGATTAGCTTTTGGTGAGCCCTCCTGCCTTGGTGAGCCCTTCCCCCCTACGACTAATGATTGCTTAACGACTGCTTCGATCGTTGGCCCAATCGCTGCTTCCTTCTATCCGTCCTCTCTCAGCATCTGCGTGATCTCACGCAGGATCTCTTCGTCCGGGACTCCTGCCTGGCTCTTAGTGGTGGCGTAAGCCGCTAGCTCTTCAACGTTCAAGTTAGGAGCGTTAGCCTCTATTGTCTAATTCGTCTTTAGACGTCTCTTGTCTTTGCCTGCCAGTGTGCAGGGCTTCTAATCGTCCTTCAATCCGCTCGCGCAGTCCTTAACTGCGGCCTACTCCTCGTCAGTGAGGACTAGTAGGGCTTACCTTCGGCCGTACTTCTCTTCTAGCTAGTTCTAAACAGCGTTTGGCTGCTGTCGTGTCGCGTCCCTAGGAAGACTCGCGTCTTGCCGTCTCGCTCGTGGGATCTCGTCTCCAATTGAGAGTAATCGCACGGCCTGCACCCCGTCCAATAGAGGATCGACAGGACTTCTCACTACAACGTCCGCTTCTAGCTAACTGTACGCTAGGCCCGAGTGGCCTTTAGGTAGTTTATCACGCGACGTTGCGCCTACGGCTCGGCTTTCCAAGACACGGTAGGACTTCCTAGACAGGTCCCGGGCGACTAAATCGCCTACTGTCTCTCACGGCTGAACTTCCTGCGAAGCTCTGCCCTAGGTGTACTGTCTTGCGACGGTCTACCTTCTTGCTACACTAAAGGCCTTTCGTACCTATTGCAGCACTAACTCTATATTACTAGCTCGCACTAACAACACGCTCTAAAACTTAGTTAGAAGATAGTCTGCCTAAGGCTTATGTCTAATTAGGATTAAATATAAAATATAAGGGGCTGCGCTCTAGGGAGCAATCACGAGGTATATAAGAGGTTGTATTTAATAGAGAGCTATAGAGTCTACTTGCGTGGTGTTTATTTACTTGTCAGAGAAAGGTTGCACCAAGTGTCTGAGCGCGTCGTCTGGGCGCCGCTCAGGCCTCGCACAGATGCCAGGTTGCAGAGTAAGACCTGGCGTCTGCTGCTTGACCGAGATTCCATCGAGGAGCTATCCCAAAGGGCGTTCAGCCCGTTACAATTAGCCACGTCTGTAAGCCAAGAGGGAAATCCACGCGTAACTAGCTTAAGTATATACTTAACAATTACGTCCTCTTCAAACTTAGTTAGATTCCTTGTTTTTAGCCAGCGATCTACCTATAAAGGTCGTCCGTTGCGTCTTTAGCTTAGTGTTGTTCGATCTACGTTATAGATAGCTGCAGCGCGTCGTAGAGAGAGAGTCGTATCTTGTTTAAGAGCTTAAAGAGCAAGCTGTATCTAACATTCACTAGAGGGCTGTAACTACTATTGTTGTTGCGACATTAGGGTGGGGTAGTAGTTTTGGTGAGGGCTTGGCAAAAGTGGCTCGCGAACCCGTGTGGCTCGCGAAGCCGTGGGGTACGTTATTACATACTAGTACTACTACTACCCCTCAAGCCACGATGATATCATATCACACGTGAGCCAGCCGTTTAAACTTTAACCACCCCCTCCGCCGTTAGCCTTGTTACCATATGTAATCTCCGTGAAATCTTAAAATCCAAACGTTAAATGAAGGCGGCCCACGCGGAATAATCTCACTGCGCGCTTACCCTTAGGGTGGCAATACGTCCGCTTTGAGGTTAAAGTGTATGCATGCTATGTTAGTACATACATATGTAGATGCATACGCGTGCACGCAAAATTACCGCAAATTGGGAAAGTTTTTGGTTGACGCGCAGGAAATCTTGTTTGGTAGTTTGAGCTGTTGGTACGTTTTTTGTGTGCAAATGGAATTAGCTATTCTGCAAACTTTTTCTCTGTTAGGTTGAGTCAATCAATCTACCATCCACTCCACCACATATCCCCCTACATCCTACTATACCCGACAAAGCCCAACCTCCTACCTGCCACTCGTCCACAAGCAGTGAACCCCATCAAAACAATACCAACACCCACAATCTCTCTTTTAATCCCTTTTAATTATTTCTATGCATCTTTGTTTCATCCATTGTTTTCGTCCATCTCAGCTCCGCTCTATAGTACTAACATCCCAAAACGTAAAAACACACAACCCCCGATACGAGTAGAAAAAACTCGGATTTGAAATCAGATATTTGCCTGAAACTTAATCCAGACATTAAAAAAGACGATAAAAAAGAGAAAGAGAGAAAAATAGAAAAGCTTATGTCAGATAAGAAAGCAGAGAGGTGAAGTTGGATTTATTGATTTGGAAGGGGAGGAGAAAGAAAATAATAGATAGATGGCAGATAAGAGATGAATCAACAAATAAATAGATATCAGTGACGATTAGAGATAGAATTAAGGGGGCAGAGGTCTAATGTAAGTAAGTACCAAGTATGCATACTTAGGACCGTGCAATAACCCTCTTTTTTGTTCCAAACGAAAAACTCGCATCTTGTGATTTTTCTGATTTCTCTCTCTCCTACAACTCCCTCTCTTAACCCAACTCCTAGACACCCCTGAACCTGGAAGATCAAATCTCTTCCACCCCAAACATTACAATCTTCCGTCTACCATTGATTTCAGCCAAGTAGAATTCAATTCAATTCAATTCAATTCAATTCAATTCAATTCAATTCAATTCAATTCAATTCAATTCAATTCAATCTCAATTACGAAATCCCAGTTCCAATCCATCTAGTCTTGAAAAAAAAACCCCTAAATAACAAAACGAGACGGAAACGCATCCATACAAAATCCAGGAATCTCTAGAAATGAAAAAAATAAAATAAAAAAAGATAAGGGTAAGAAGAGGGTTGTACAACCAGACCGGTTGAAAGATAAACAGTGCCAAGACAACGTTGACCAGACGGAAATCGAGAAGAAGAAAAAAAATACAAGAAACATGGTGCATTTATCATTCATGGACAAATAGAAAAAACAAGACTTTGCTAGAGAGGAAAGAGAAAGAAGAAAGAGAAAGAAGAAAGAGAAAGAAGAAAGGGTAAGAAAAGAGGAGAATTGCGGCGTTTTGTAAGTTAAACAATTAAAGTTTGAATTAGGCTGGACTTTTAAGGGCTGGTATGTACAACACCACCATAGTACCATCTCCATCAACCAGCCTATATCTCTATACAAACCCCCCCCTCCCCCTCCCCACCCTTTTCCTTCTCTCTCTCTCTTACACACACACACACATATATATATATACACATACATACTAACTCGACATTCCCACCTATCACACGTGCTTGAACAAAAGATTTTGGTTATACAGATTTTCTATCGAATACCATGTAAGTATGCATGCATGGTAAGCATGTAATAGGGAGGCACTATTTCAAACGGCCAGTTCCAGTTCCAGTCCCAGCGAACCCTGGCTATGTGTGTAACCTAAGCATTGATACTGTACTGTGTCGACACCCCCAAAATAAAAAATAAATAAAAAATAGATAAATAAATAAAAACCCACAAAAAAAACTACACCCATGACAGAGAAAAGATATATCTTTCACCTTGTACAGTAAGCGTCAAGATTTTTGAACAGAACAGAAAAAAAGGGGAAGAAGAAAAAGAAGAAGAAGAAGGAGATGGAAGAAAAAAAAAAGAGTTGATGTTGAGAAATTCCTCAGATTTCGACTTTCGTTCAGCGCCACCCCGCTGCTGCTGCTGCTGCTGCTCCGCACTCCGCACTCCGCCCCCCCCCCCACTGTTTTTTGTCATGCTTTTCTCTTTCTCTCTGATATATAAAAAAACAAAGAACGGTCAGCTCGAAAAGGGCGTAACCTCAACCTCTTCCGCCACCTCATCTTCAGGTCTTGACCTCAAGCCGCCGTCGACCTGGATACCGTTCTGGACCCACTCCATGCTGGCGATATCTTCCAAGCTCTTGCGGCCGCGCGAGACTTTTTTGAGCAAGCCCTCGACACACTCACGAGCACCGGCCCAGTCTTTGCCCTTTTCGGGATCCCAGTCGCCGTCGGCGTCACCAAACTTGACCCACGACCAGTCACATCGCGCAATGCGGTGAGCGGCTCTGCTGCGCGAGGCGGCTTTACCTGGGGGCGGGTCAAAGGGTAAGCGGCCCTCCATCAAAGCATACAGCACGACACCAAGGGCCCAGGCATCTGTAGCGCGGCCGTCGTATGGCTGGCCAAGCAGAATCTCTGGGGCAGCATAATCTTCACTTCCACAGCGCGTAGTCAGAAGAGGTGATTCAGGCGGAGCAGGGATACGCCGTGACAAGCCGAGATCTGTGAGAGTCGCTATGGCATGCGGATGGCTCTGTGGGTTCTTGAGAAGAGGCACGGCAGACACGGGAATGTTGAGCAGGACATCTGGAGGGTATTAGTACGAGACAGCACCGACAGGAACGTACCATGATGTGTTTCTTTTTGTTCAGGTCAAATGGGGCAGAGAGGAGAGGAGAGGAGACAGAGCAGGAGAGCGGTGGAAGCAGTACTTTCTAGTTTGATGTCGCGGTGCACAATGAGCTGGCAATGTAGATAATGCACGGCGCTGACCATCTCGGCGAAGATGCGATGGACAAGAGGGACAGTCAGCTTGTCGCGATGGTCACTGGCTACATCAAAGAGATCACCACCAGGGCAGTACGTGAGGACAAGGTGAGCTTGGGCGTCATCGTGATCGAAGGCTTGGAGACGGACAAGGGACGGGTGGGAGACGGACTGGAGCATCTCGACTTCGCGCTTGAGGCTTAGTTCTACGCGCTCCTCGTCGGCGCCACCCGCAGGGCCATGCTCGACCACCTTGATGGCGACCAGCTTGCGCGGGTCGAGCGTGGCTTCGTCGAGCGGGTCCTTGGCCGACGTCTTTTCGCACGTGGCCAGGTAGACCTTGCTGAAGGTGCCCTGGCCGAGCTGGCGGACGGGGCGCCAGAGCTGCCGCGTCTTGTTTGGGCCGCACCGCACGGCGATGTAGGGCGTCTTGTCGTCGTCGGCCACGTCTTCCTCCTCGGTGTCGGTCACGCTGCGGTTGCTGGCATTGCTGGCGGGGGGCGTGGGCAGGCCGGCGGGGCCTTTTGCGGGGACCAGGCCTCGTTGGCGAGATAGGGGTTGAGGCGAGATGCAGTGCATAGGGCTAGGGTCTTTTTCTTCTTCTCGGGGTTCTGTATGATAGGGCACGAAAGCGAGGGCGTTGGGGCGGGCACATGGCATGGCTGGGGAGGGGGGGGGGCATTTGGGCGGCGCATGTAGCAACGTGTGTAGGCCAAGGCATGAGAAGAGCAGTATGTGTGTACATGTGTGTGTGTGTATGGATGTGGCGGGCGTGGAGCGACCAGGATCGTGACGTGATGTGGGTGGGCATGCAAGTCATGGGGCCGACGCAGTGCAGGCGGAGGGCGCACGTCCATGTTTAGCACAGCCCGCAGACTGTAGACGGTCGACTAGGGACGAGCCACTGACTGTTGAGCGTCCCGCCCGCCGCGATACAACACCATGGAGGGCCCAGCGTCAGCCTCTCGTGGTCCTGCATCCTCGCCCTCTCCCGCTCTCACGCCCGCCGCCGCGCCAGACGACCCGCCGCCTCGCCCCAGCAGCAGCAGCAGCAGCAGCAGCATCAGCATCAGCATCAGCAACCCCAGCCACGGCATCGGCGCCCTTGCAGTAGCAGCAGCAGCAACAGCAGCAACAGCACTACCACCACCGCCACCAGCAGCGCCCGCAGCCTCGCACCTCGCTGCGGCGGCCCCCAATGCTGCGGCGACCCTCAGGGCCTCGGACTCGCCGCTTGACACGGGCTTCACGGATCCGGCGCTGCCCAGATACCACGTTCGCGCTCCCTCGACAGTGCTGAAGCTCGACACGGGCCTCGCCATTGCCTCGTCGTCGAATTCTGCACGGGCGGCCTCGCGCGATCCCGCCAATCTGGACGGCCACGGGAGCGACGCGCTGCGCCAGCCGGCCACGGCGCCCATTGCCATACAGGACGGAGGCTACCTGCGCACTGCCTGGTCGACGGCCAGCCTGGGGTCGCTGTCGCCCGCCTCGGCCCTGTCGTCGCCCGCCCTCAACGCGCTGGGCGACATAACCCCGCTCCCCTCGCCGCTGGTCATGGGCGACTCGCCCGGCCCATGGCAGAGAGCCGACCACCGTCCTCGCTCGCGCGGCATCTCGGCCGCCTCGCGCGATGACGCCTTTGCCGTCTTTGCCAAGGGCACCCTGTCGCCCTCGCCCTCGCTCAAGAAGAAGGGCTACTCGGGCCTCAAGGCCGCCGCCATCGAGGCCGCCGCCGCCGCCAGCTCGCAGCACAAGAGCGAAGCCGCCCGCGAGCGCAACCGCAGCGTCAGCGAGTACACGCCCGACGCCACCCACAACGCCCGCCCACGACACGTCACAATAGGCGGCAACACGCCCGCTGCCGCCGCCGCCGCCGCCTCCTCCTCCTCCTCCTCCGCCTCGGCGCAGCACCGCATGAACCGCGAGACGTACCTGGCCACCCTACCCCATTCCCCTTCCTTTCTTTTGTGCAATCACCACCCTCACTTTGCCTGTCCATGGTTGTTGAACGGGTACTGTTGGTCGGGAGCGTTCGGCGAGTAGTTGAACGGCGAGTAGCTACCAGAGTATCCCGTCGTGAAGTGGCCACCTCCATTGGCAAAGTGGTAAGGGTTCGTTGGGTACAGCGGGCGCTCTTCTTTGTTATTGCGGCCCAGATAACCCGATCGTCCTCCCCACTGAGAACCGTTCTGATAGCCAACATGACTGTCGTTCTGGCTCTCGGGAGGAGACGCTGGACCGCGATTGTCGTGCAAGTTGATGGCCTCGGGGCCAGCACCAAGATAACCACCAAAGCCCTGGCCATAGCCCTTATTGGGGCTGTTGCCCTGGCCAGCACCAGCACCGTATCCACCCGTCTTGGCCTCGCTCGCCTTCTGCTCCGACGACTTGTGCAAAGCCTGCACCATCTGCTTCAGCTCCTTGACTTCGGCTTCCATGCTTGCCATCTTCTTCTCTTGCTCCGTCAGCATCTTGGGAATGCCCTCCTCGACGCTATCCTTGAGAGTCTCCAGCGTGGCGTACACATTGCCCTGGCTGCTCACCATACCATCCACACGGTCCATGCATTCGGCTATTTGACTCGTGTTCTCCTTGACCGCGTCGAACCAAGACCTCATCTCATCAGAGTGCTTGCTGATCAGCGCCGCCAATTGGTCGTGCCTCGCCTTGGACACAGACTTTTGCTGCTTGTTGAACATTTCCAAAAGATCCCACGTCGTTTTGCCCACCACATCCAGATGCTCATTCGTCATGAAGAAGTGATCGTCGATGCTCTTGGGCGCAAGTGGCGGCGGAAAGGGACCGAACGAACTGCTGGGAGGCGCAATCGCCCGCGCCGCGGGTACGAGTACTGGCGCTCTGTGCAGCGGGCTGGGAACAGCACTAGGGCAATGGGGTCGGAAGTCGCCGTGTGACTCGCTTCTACCAGGGCTGGCCGTGTTCAACATGTCAGTGAGCCGCGACGAAGATTGGTCGGCGTGGGGGTGGTTGCTATGGCCATTGTTCTGTGCCGAGGACTCGCACTGGTCGTTGATACGAAGCTCTTGCATCACACGCGTCGTCAGTTGCGTGTCGATGCCACGCTGTTTGCTCAGCTCCAGCTCTCGCGCAGTGGGAGAGTTGGGGTCGATGTCGCCTGGGTCGCCTTGGAAGATCATCTTGATGGAGCCTTCGGTTGAGTCTTCGCGTTGATGCTGGTTGGATGTCGACTTTGAAGGTACAGAGTATAGCAGCCGGCTTTGGTCGGTCTGGGGTCTTGTCAGTACTTACCAATGAAGTAATAGGTCATTAGAAAGCGGGGTGGCAAAGGTGAAGGTGAAGACGAGTCGACAGGTGAGTGATGGGGCAATGGCGCCCCACTGCCGGTGAAGGCAAGAGGCAGAAACAGTAGCTCACTCACATTCTTGGACGGCGTCTCCCCCTCGCGAAAACCGTATGCAGCGAGGTGCTTTGGCGAGTAGAAGCGAGGCTGGAGCGGGCAGTAGTTGTTATGCTCTAGGACGCTGCTCGGATGGTCCTGGCTCTTGCTGTCCGGACGAGGAAGGTGCAGCGCCTCGAGAGTCGCGCCTTCCAAGGGCTCACTGCGCCTGCCCTCTGTCTTGCCCGGCGAATCGGTGCGCTCTGGGAAAGGCCACTGCAGCACGTCGCCTACTGTAGGCTTCGTATAATCCTGTGCGCTATAGGGGTGCGACTTTGTCGGACTCGCGCCGCCTTGTCTAGGAAGGACATCCATGAGCGGCGATGGAGTCGGTTTGAGGGCTGGGATGTGCAACTGCATGCCTTCCCCACCAGGAATGTCATATCGCTGACGGAGATCCTGAGCTGGAGCCACCCTACGCAGCGGGCTAGCAGGCCTCTGACCCGGAGGAGTGTCCTTGGCAGGCGGTGTCGGTGGAACTATAGAATCCGACGACGTGCTGGACGCAGGCATTGGCGGATTGTTCTCGGCATCAGACGCTTGCTTCCTCAAGCCGTCTCGACCAGGTGAGACACGTCCACTCTGACGAGACCGTCGTGACGTTCCACTGTGGTGACGATGAGCATGTCTGTCGGGGTCGGCAATCTTTGCAGGCAGTGACTTTGCAGTCTCGGGCCGAGACGACTTTGCAGGTATCTGCTGGACAGAAAGTGCTGGCTTGATTGGACGGGCTTGAATGGTACGCGGCTGTCGCGTTGCTGTGCCCAGTACTTGTGCGGCTTTGGAAGGGATCGAAGGTGGAGCTGCAGAGCCAGACGACTTAGAGAACGGGTTACGGATGTTGTGGAAGAGTTTTCTTTTGGGGCTCTTCGCCAGCTCGTCCTGCTCTGGCTGTGTTTCGCTATTCGCGGCCCGGCAGTGTGATCGTAGATCTTCTGTTCTGATATAGACCTTGTCTTCGTCTACAGGACCTGTTGCATTCAGAAAAAACAGTCCAAACCAGGGGATTGCTTGCTTACCTGTAGTCGGCGTAGGTGGAATCTGTCCAGTCATCTTGAACATGTTCCTCTCTGAACGAGACTCGATCTTGCCACGAGCCGTCTTTTCATCTAGGGCTTCAAGCTGGGCCTGGGCGGCCATGGCACTCTGCTGGCTCCGGCCTGACTGTCGAGAGCGTGTCGTAGAGCCACCACGGCTACTCACCGTAGATGCGTGATCAGATTTGCGGGGAGACGAGACACGTGCCTGTTCTATGAAATTGGTGAGCGTAGCCATAGCTTGGCGGCTCCTACTCGACCCCGAGTGCGGAATACGCACTCGAGCCGACTCGACTGGCGTCGTCTGCGAAGTCGTGTTTGCCGGGATTTGTCTATGCCCGAAACCTAGTGGAGGCCAAGGAGGCAGTGGCGGAGGCGAAGAGTCAATGTCGATAGGCCGAGGGCGCTTCCTTTGCTCGCCGAACTGAGACGACATGTCTGACACTTCGCAGACGTAGGCTTCTGTATCGTGTGAGGCCATGTAGAGAATTGCAAAAAAAAAGAGTCAACAAACCGTGTGACAGTGGTTCCAATGGCGTCAAAGACTTGATGTCCTGTGAGCACGTGCAATGATTAGCACTCGAACTTGTACGTGGCAATCTAACCAAGTCCAGCGATCCAGGTTCAGTACTCGTAATGCTTCTTTGGGCTGCGGTGATGCGGCGAGAGAGATGGGTGGTGAGCAGAGAGGCCGTTGTGGTCGTAATACCAGGCGCGTATATCGTGCTGCCTCAGGCAACAATAGCGACAACAAACGCGTCTCTCCTTCACCCCATCTTCCAAACAGGGTCCAGGCGTGCGTGCGAAGAGGCCTAGATATGACGTGGGAAAAAAAACAGTGAAAGAAGCCGACGGGTTACTTACTCTGGCGCTAGCACCAGCACCAGCACCAGAAGCGCTATACCGCCTCTTATGGGGAATATGCGTGCGTGCGATCAAGACTGGAATGTGATGTTTCAATTGACTGCCGCCCAAGCAACCTGTCGCACAGAAAGAATTGCCAGCCAGGTCAATATGTAGAGAGCAGAATGAAAACGAGCCGGGTAATGGCAGAAAAAAAAGATCGCTACCCACAAATGGCGCCTGTATTCGAAGAGGTATCCAAAAGATTCACGCCTAATCAAAGAAGTTCTGCAATCCAACGCTCCCCCTAGCGTGCCGTCGGGCCTCGCCATCACCTTGATCGTCTTCAAAGTATGCAGCATTTCTTGCCCTTCTTTCTCTCACCACCTTCTTTCTTTGCCGCCGGTGGCTCGAGTGCTGCGACAATTGCCTGTGGCCCGGTTAGCGTCGTGGGAAGCGCACTCTTCGAGCGACATGTGCCTACCTCGTCAAAGACATCCTTGAGCTTGTACTGCGTCAGCGCCGAGCACTCGACGTACTTGACCGCGCCCAGTTCCCGCGCCATTCGCTCACCGTCCTCCTTTTTCACAGGGGCCATTCTCTGTTTGGAAAGCTTGTCTTTTACTGCACTGTCTTCCCGGAGATCCACTTGTGTGCCGACAATCAGGCAGGGCACGCCCGGGCAGTGGTGGTGTACTTCGGGGAACCATTTCTCGCGGACGTTCTCGAACGAGGCGGGTGAGGTGACGGAGAAGCAGACGAGGAAAACGTCCGTCTGCGGGTACGACAAGGGTCGGAGACGGTCATAATCCTCCTGTCCGGCAGTATCGAAGAGACCGAGCGTATAGGGCTCGTCGCCAATCCTTGCACGCAGTCAGCAGCTGCTTGGCCCAGACGCGGATCCCAGCCGAGGCCCACCGAGTTGCACGCTGCGCTTGCCGAGGAAGAAGCAAGCAGGCAGGCAAGCAGAAAAGAAGAAAGCAGCAAATGCAGACAAAAAGACGACATGGGCGAGGAAGAAGCAAGGGGAGGGCTCACATGACGGTCACGGCGTAGTTGTCGAAGACCGTGGGGACGTATTCCGAGGGAAACTTGTTGGTGGTATAGCTGATGAGCAGACATGTCTTGCCGACCGCACCGTCGCCGACGACGACGCACCTGCAGAGGGGGGGAAGCGGGTTAGCACTCGGGCGGGAGCATGCGCAGGGCGGATGTGGAGGGCTTTTGCGTACTTGATTGTCGCAACCACCATGGTGAAGACGGGGCACAGCTAGCAGCGAGGTGTGCGTGGGAGAAACGGACGGAGGGGGGGGGCGAGGGCAATGTTTTGTTTGGTGGTGGCGCAGAAACGGGGACGGAACGATGGGGTCGGTCGAGGTGGTCGGGACTAAGTAGGAGGTAGTAATGCGGAGAGATGGAGCGACGGGGCGTTGGAGCTAGAGCCGCTGGGGAGTGGGAGCTGTGCAAACGAGGGGTCGAAATGAGCGGAGAGGGCTTTCTGAGCAAGGCGGGCGTCCAGTCAGTGTCGGTCTGGGGCTGGCCGCTGGCTAGAGCGAGGGCACAGTGGGAGCGGCTCGGGCAGGCATACCTGGAGGCGGGCGGGTGCAGACGGGCGGCGGCGCGTGCTACGCGGGCTGCGAGGGTGAAACTCGAAACGTCAGACTGGAGGGCTCTGGGGCGCTGGAGGTGCGTCGTCGAGGGCTCTGGGGCGGGCGAGGAAGCGGCGGGCACTGGGCACTGGGCTCGGGGGAGGGGGCGGCGCCAGGCAGGCGGCGGGCACGCGACCGGAGGCAGACAGACGGCGGACGGGCGCGGGCAGCCGGCGGCGGAGGAGGAGGAGGAGAGGGCGAGGGCGAGGGCGAGGATGGCGGGATGGCGAGGGCGGGCGAGGGCGTTGGAGATGGGGCTTGGGAAGTGAGGTTGCAAGATGCACACCCACGGTAGCGGAGAGAGGCAGAGGCCAATCACTGCCGCCGGGCCTGGCGCTGTTATCATAACCTTGCATCGGCTCCCGCCCGTAGCTCGGAAACGGCGCATATTCGCAGCTATGTACGCATCGAGGCGTCTTTTGCGCGTGCACAACTTGTTCTTTTTCCTGCCTCTGCCTCTGCCGGCCAGACGGCGCGCTCCTTGCTAGCCGCTACATACACACACACATGGATGCCACACCGGCCCTGACGCAGCGCTGCACGGCGGTGGCCCAGCATGCGCTGCGCATCCTGCACCCGCCAGCCCAGCCCGGCATTGGCCTGCTAGGCGCAGCACACGACACGCTGGACGCTACCTGCGACCGAGGCCATGTGTCCACATGTCTGTCCATGTAGCGACCATGTACATATGTCCTGTACATATGTCCTGTACATAGTACATGTGTACCGCCGACGACCCCTGACACACGTCCCTCGAGCCCCAGATCCAGCGCCATCCGTGCCCCTCCAACAACGTGGCTGATCGGCGTACTTTCTCTCTCTCTGCCCCGTATGTACTATGTACTATGCCGTTGCTGTATGTCGTGGATGCTCTCCTTCTCCCCCCTCTCTCTCTGTCCTCTCTGTCCTCTGTCCTCTGTCCTCTGTCCTCTGTCCTCTGTCCTCTT